AGGGCGTGCGGCCACCCCGCGGGGCCACCCACCTGCGTGGGGCCGCGGCTCTGCTGGGCGGGGGAGGCGGCGCCCAGCTCCTCGTGCATTCGGTCCAGCAGCCAGAGCAGGAACTCGAGCGCGTCGTGCTGAGCGTTGCCCCGGAACTGCGAGCTGTGCTTGGAGACGATGTTCTGCAAGACACGGGCGGGGCAGGCGCTGATGAACGGATTCTTCCTCAGCACCCACCCCAAACATGCCAGCCCCATCCCTGCTACAGCCTCTGCAGGGACATCACGGCCACCCCGGGGCCAGCAGAGCAGCGGGGACACCGAGCACACGCAGCTGAGGCAGTTCTGCTGTGTCCCTCCTTCCAGCGGCCAGGAGCGGGACAGGAGAGGACACAGGGAAAACCGCAATGAAGTCCAGATGGGCAAGTTCAGCCATGGGGACCTTCAGGCCCCACCTGCCCCAGGCACTCCGATGGCATCAACTCAGTGTAGCCCATCCCAGGACAGGGCTCGGCTTCCCGGGAGTTCCCCCGGGCACCTCGCAAAGTTCAGTGGCAGCAGCACTTTGCTGGCAGCACCGAGGTAATGTCACTCGGGCAGAGAACACGTGGCCCTGAGTGTGGGGAGCTGCGATGCCAGCCTGGACGTGCTGTGATGCCCCTGGCACCCGGGCATGTGCCCGGTAGAGGTGTGACACACGCTCAGGGACAGAGCCTGAGGCCACCGAATTTGGCTCCTGGGTAATATCCTGTCTTAGCCATGATCACAGCCAGCAGCAGCTCACCCTCAGGGCTCTGTGGCATGGCCAGCCCTGGGAGCTCAGGGGACAATGACCAGGCCAGAGGGAGGTGACAGCAACAGGGAGGTGTCTGGGGGTGTCAGGCAGGGCAGGGTTCATAGGGAGGATGAGGCAGGGGAGAAGGTGATGGGAGCTGGGAAGGGTGTCGGTGGGTTCTGGGGAGCTGGGAAGGGTGTCGGTGGGTTCTGGGGAGCTGGGAAGGGTGTCGGTGGGCTCCGAGGAANCCAGCATCACCCCGGGCACCGCAGCATCGCCCGGCTGAGCCAGCCCTCCACGCCCCCTGTCCCCAGGGGTGAGCCATCCCCCCATCCCCCCGGGGTGCCCCAGCCCACCCTCATCCCCGCCCGGGGTGAACCATCCCTCTGTCCCCTCCTCGGCTTTCCCGGCAGTCCCGCCCCTGCTCCACGAGCGCTGCCCTGCTGCCCTCAGCTTCGCCTCAGGGTGTCACGGCGTCACTGCGAGATGCCCGAGTTCTGCCACCTCCGGGCGCTCTGAGCTGCAGCGGTGGCACAGTGGTCACCTCTGCACGCTCCGCACTGAGCTTTGGGGACACAATGACAGCTCCTTCGCACAGAGTCACAAAACGGGGGTTTCCAACCCAGTGCTGGCAGCGTCCAGAGCCTTTGGCGCCTCCTGCCCACCCCACACAGTTTGGCACCACACCCTGGTGTCTGTTTGGGGTTAGGGAGATGGAGCAGGATGACAGAGGAAGGGTCAGGAGGTGCTGTTGGATGTCACGGTCGCTTCTCCCCGCAGGGGAGTCCAGTCCCTGGGCTGGGGTGGGAGCTCGGGGGTGGTGACAGGACGGTGACGTCCCAGGGGGATGCCAGGCTGGCAGCCAGCGGTGTGCCGGGCACGGATCGGGCACAGGGCTGTGTGCTGCCCCTGGAGTGATCTCAGGCTAAATCCATCCCGTGCTGCGTCTGCTGAGCAGATGGAGGGGGATCAGCCAGGCCTGGGTCCCCAGGGACGGCTCCACCGCGAGTGGCCCCGGGCTCAGGAGCTGCTTATCCAGAGAGAAGAGAGGATTGAGCACAGCCGAAGTTTCCTCCCGCCCTCAGCCAGCCCTGATTGGCACGGGATGTCCCCTGAGAGCCTGGCTGGGGTCACCCCCTGCCCTCTGCCAGACCCCCGACACAGCAGCTGCCTTGGAAGGACTGCAGTTCCCACCCGGAGCCACCCCGGGGCCAGCCTGGGCACTCAGCTTTTCCTCCTGGGGAGATGGGAATGGCCATGGAAGGACCATGTTGGGGGTGGTCCCACCCCGCTGTGCCCGGGGAGCCACTCTGGGCTGGGGGATACAGTGCAGGGGCTCAGGGCAGTCCCTGGCCCTGCAGAGCCCCAACAGCCCTGTGGGGGCTCTCAGCCTGTCTGAGGAAAGCTGCTGGCACTGCCAGGGTTCTTGCTGGCCCAGACACTCAGGGAAGTCTGAGCTGAGCTGAAATTCCAGCTACAAACCCCCCAAGCCCAGAGGTTTGACTCCTGAGCTGACTCTGCATCCACTACTGAAGTTCATTCCTCAGCATCCTCCTGGCCAAAGCTGTGAAATCCATCATTACAAAGCCAATGGATAAAATGCTCCTTTGGGAAAGACATCCTTAACATCTGGGTCCCTTCTCCTATCCAAAGGTGACAATCCAAAAAGCAGAGTCCTGAGTGTTCCCTGGGACTCCTGGCACATTCCTGGCCTTGCTCCTAGCATCACACACTGCAAGCCCTGCTACAGACCCCAAGGAGATGGAAACCAGGATCCACCAGAGCGTTTGTGTGAGGATGTGGGGCTTTTCCTTTCCCAGTTCTCTGACAAGAGCAGGTTGTGCCTCATGCAGTGTGGGAAGAATGGGTTTATCTAGAGCAGCTCCCAGCTCACTGAAGAGAAAAGGACTTGTTGTTTCTCTCTGGCCAGTTTTGGCCGGACACTCAGGCCTGGAGCATCCCACGCGAGCCAGAGCTGCAGAGCAGGGAGGGAGGGAGGGAGGGAAACCAGGCAGGCTCGGGGAACCAGAAACCCAAAGCAACTCCTTAAGGAAAGTGGAGAAAAGCCTAAAGAAAAGTGAGGGGACTGGAGAGTCCAGAGGCAGGAGCTGAACTGAGAGCTGGATCAGAACCTGGTGATTGTTAGAGGGGGCTGGATGGGAAGGGAGAGCTGACAAACATAGCCGAGGAAATTGGTCTAAACTGAGAGGGTGAAACTCAGTCATGTTAAAAATCCCAAGCCTGCCAGAATTAAGAAGCACTGGGCAGTGAAAATTTTTTTTCCCTGGGAACCTGTCAGCACCCCTCAGCTGCCCCCTGTGATGCCAGTGCAGGAATTCTGACAATACACATCAGCCAACGACTGAAAACTGAATCAGTGTCTTTCCAAGCATAGAGGCACCCCATGGCTGTCAGTGCATCCCACCCAGCCTGGAGCAGGCAGCGGTGCCTTTCCCACAGGTAACTCCAGTTCATTCCAATTTAAGGCAATTTGCACACCGGAGTGAGCCTCAAGAATGCTCACCGTGTGAATCTGCCTTTCAGTGGCACTGTATTTGTCATCTTCCTTCTTTTTCAGGTCATTCTGAACGTGATGCCTTCCTATTCAGGCTAAATCAAATATTTATCAATGCTGCCGCATCCGGCACTGCTGGATTGCGTCAGCACTTTCTCCCTAAAATGCCTTTTTGGGATCTCCTGGCTCTCTCCAGCTCCTGCCTCTCAAGCTGCCATTTCCTGCTTCGGCTTCAGAGCAAATGTGGGGTGGGCAAAATCTGAGTGTCAAATACAATGAAGGGATGGAAACGTTTGGTCACTACAATGGAAAATTCCTTGTTGCTGGCATGAACTGCCTGGGACACCAGACAGCGGGATGGATACAAAAACACGGAGGGTTTGGGTTGGATTAAGGAGACATGGGGACAGGACAGCACTAGAAATGTTCCCTCTAGCTGGGCATCAGTGCCAGGGAGACGCTTGGATCTCGGGATAAAATCCTGAATAGATCTGAGCTGAACTGATTCAGGCCAGAGAGAAATCCATTTCCACGCTGCCAAATCATCCTGATAAAAATAACAGAAAAGAAAGAGAAACCTTCCTCCCTGCCTGCTGCGCTCTGCCCTGGGACAATGTTTGCTTTCTTTGAGCTTCTCCTGCTCTTTTGGCACGGGCTGGGAACATCTGTGCTGTGGAGTGGAAATGTGCTTTCAACAGCCCCATCCTGCTCCCAGCCTGGGGGCAGCTGGGGGAGCCTGGGTGGGGCTGGGAGCGCCGGTCTGGGCTGGCACTGCCCCCTCCTTGCCCCCTCCCTGCCTGCAGCACTTTTAGGACTCAAGGCAGGCAGAGAAATCTCCCCCCTTGGAACCCCTCTCTCCTCAGCCTCTGCAGCTTGGATTAAATTATAGATAGCAGAGTGAGTTATTTAATGCCCCATGAAAGATGCATGGGGCCTGCCTTTTTTGGGAGTCTCTTTGAGGAGGGACAACATCAAGGCAGAAAAATTCTGCTTTCCAGGGCTCAGGCTGATGAATAGAGCCGGCCATGCTCCGCCGGTTCAGAACGGGAAAGCAGCAGATAACCCCGAGCTGCAGGAACTCCTGCACTTTGTTTGCAGCAATTTCACTCAGGTTTTAATGCATTTGCTCCATCCCTGGCTGCTTCACTGAGCAGGTGTCTCTAGGCTCTTTCCACCCATTATCCCTGTGAACTGAGACGATGTGATCCCGCAGCAGGAGCTGGACCTGGGCGTGGGGAGGGGCAGCTACACCTCGATCCAGCAGCGCTGAGAGGGGCTTGTGCCTGGAAAGTGCCCCAGGCTGTCCTGGGGGCTCAGCCAGGCTGGGGGAGCTCAGTGACCTCGGCTGGGCACCAGCCTTGGATGTCTCGGGGTAAATAAACACCTTGCAGAAGTGAGGCTCCAAACTCTCCCCACGGGGACCTGGCGGTGACAGAGCTCCCTGGGACCCCTGGGCAGCTTCACAGGCTCCAGTGCCCTCCTCATTCCCCCATACAAGCACAGAGCCTGTCCCACATTCCAGCGGCTGGGTCCTGGATCCCAAGCCCAGCGAGCCCTGCTGCAGAGCCTGTGGAACCTGTTGGTGTGTTTATGGCTCAGAGCACCAGGGGCTCTGAAGGAAGAGAGCATGGAATGACCGAATTCCTGTGCTGAAGGCTCCAGTAATGAGAGCAGGGAATTTTCAGGCAGAAGGAAAAGGATTTGTTCGGTGTTTGATGGTCAGCAGAGGGGCACAGTCCGAAAGGATCCACCTTTGCTGTGCTGTGAGCGGGAAATGCTTTTAGTGGCATGTGAGGAAAACCAAGCAATGATACCTTTAAATGCCTGTCCCCCACTGCCTTCCAGAACTGTCAGTACAGGTGTAGAGATAAATCATCTCCATTAACTAAAACATCTGAGATCCCCAGAATTAAGGGCTGCAGCGTTCTGCTGCATTTTAATTGATGACAGAATTCTCCCAGGTCTCCAATGCCTGCAAGAGAAATCCTTCACTTGCATCACTTCCCAGGCTGCTGCCTGCACTGATCTTTACACAAACAGTATTTGAGAGCTGTTGCTTTTAATCCTAGATGTGGTACTGAGTTAGTAATAAGTGCTTCTTCCGTGCAAATTTGGAGCCTATTTGAAGAATCAGGCCAGTGCCCAGGAATCTGAGTGTGTCTGGCTGGAAACACACAGGCATTTTTAGCAGAGACTTCACTCTCCAGAACCAGGTCCCAGAAGAGAGCTTTAAATTGGACACTGCAAAAGAAGCAGCCCCAGCATCCCTGAATTCTTTTGAGAACATGGGGTTAAAATCTTGGCTCGAGAGAGCTTCCCAGTAAATGCCAGGAGTTGGATCTGACGGCTTTTTCCTTAATCAGGACCAGACAAATTAAAATAAACACAGAAGACTGAATTTACACAACAAGTCATTCATTAAAGGCAGGGCAGAAGAGGGGAGGGAAGAGGGATGGAGTGAAAGCGAGAGAGCTCCAAGAGGGAGCAGATCCGAGTCAGGCTGTGCCAGGAGCCTCTCGGGAAAGGTGGCAGTGACAATATGGAAGTGTTATAACAACAGCCAAGATGATTCTCAGAAGTGAGGAATCCTTCATGCCAATCTGAAAGGAACAGAAAACTCCTGGTCCCCCTGAACGAGTCAGACCCATTTTTTCAGTGCTGTGGGGGCTGTTGGGGAATCTGGTAAATGGATGAC